ATGACCATAATTCTTACAGCCATCCTGATCTCAACAAAGGAATCTTCCGAGAAGCCACTGGAGTTGAGCTTGAGCTGTAGTTCTGAGACGATGCCCAGCAGGTCTGCCTTTTCAGCTTGAAGGCGCATCACCTGGGCCTTCAACTGCTCTACTTCCTGCTCCAGGTTTGCCCTGGGAAGCCCGGAGACACCTATGGAACCCTGGGAAAACCAAGAATGAGGCAAATACACAAATCAAACCAAGGGTCTGGCCAGCAAACTTGATGGCCAAACATCACACACACACTCGCTCTCTCTCTCTCTCTCTCTCTCTCTCTCTCTCTCTCTCTCTCTCTCTCTCTCTCTCTCTCTCTCTCTCTCTCAGATATCATGGAGCCCAGGTTGAGTATGAACTCAGAACTGAGGATAGCCTTGAACTTTGGAACCTCCTACCACTACCTTCCAAGTGCTGGTATTACAGACATGCACCACGATGCCCAACTTAAGTTTTGTGTGTTGGGCGTGCACATGTGTGGATACGCTCATGGTATGCATGTGTATGTAGAGGAAAACCACCTTAGGTGCCAACCATCTTGTCCACCTTCCCTGTTTTTGTTTTATTTTGGAGAAAGGTTCTCTGACTGGCCCAGGACTTGACAAGTAGGCTAGGCTGGCTAGCCAGTGAGCCCCAGGAATCTGCTTGTCTTTGCATCCCCAGCACTGGGATTATATACACACACCACCATGCCTGGCTTTCCCACGTGTGTTCTGCCAATTAAACTCAGGTCCTTAGCACTTTCTTTTTTTTTTTTTTTTTTTTTTTGGTTTTTCGAGACAGGGTTTCTCTGTGGTTTTGGAGCCTGTCCTGCCTTAGCACTTTCTTAACTGAGCTCTATCTCCAGCCCCATGCTCGTTTTCAGAAGAGGCACTTTTCTAACATTTTCATCTGCTAAGCTTTAAGCAGAAGAGTCACCCTCTTATTTAACAACTTATTTTGACACACCATATAAAACAGGAATTTGGGGGCTAGAGGTAAAGCTGAATAGTAGCTTGTCTCAAATGTGAGACCCTAGGTTCAAACCACAGAGCCACACATGTGAAAAAGAAACAAGGAATTTTTTTTCCTGGTTTTTCGAGACAGGGTTTCTCTGTGGCTTTGGAGCCTGTCCTGGAACTAGCTCTGTAGACCAGGCTGGTCTCGAACTCACAGAGATCTGCCTGCCTCTGCCTCCCGAGTGCTGGGATTAAAGAAACAAGGAATTTAAAATAACTTAATGACAAGAAAACAAGGCTTCCACAGCATGCAAGAATCATGGGTTAAAATCCTGAAAATAACCAACCAGACTCGGACAGTGATAGACTCAAACACTGTGGTAAAAAATCTCAGAAAACAAGGACTAAGAGCTGTTAAAACTCAACCTTCTACCTTCACTCTTCCCCGCAAACACCCACATCTCCACTCCCTGTCCCCCAGGTGCAGTCAGAAACCGGAGCACCAAGAATGTGATCTGGGTCAGGGACGGCAAGATAAGAAAAGGTCTCCAGTTCTCCCTGCGTGCTAACTGCTGGGGATGTTACTCTATGCTGGTGTTGGAAGAGGGAAAAACCTGGGAGAAAGAAGACAGAAACTCAAGGATTAAGAAAAAGTTAAATTTTCGCCCATATAGAACCAATAATACATATTAATTAGTATTGCACAGATGTGAACTATATATGTCATGTGTGTTGAGTTCACCCTGATATAATGACCACATATGACAGCAATGGAAGAACCAGCCTGTTCAGAAGTGCTTGTTTCTGGGGAGAACAGACTCATCTGTATTCCCTGATCACTAGGGATGTGGTCCTCAGCAGACTCTCTGAAGTCCTGGCCTCAGTTTTCTTGGACACCACATAGTCCACAGTCTCTTCTATGACCTCCCAGGCCTCCCTGGGCCTCTACAGCTCGATGTACAAGACACCGTGCTTCACTCCCCTTTCCTAACTTGAAATAATTACAGTTCATGGAATTCTTTTTTGTTGTCATTCGTTCATTACTGGGGACTGAACCCAGGATCCTGTGCATGCTAGGCAAGTGCTCTACCACTAAGCTACACCCCAGCCCTAGTATGATTTTTTTGTTTTTGTATATGTGTATGGTGCATGCATGTGTACATCATTTGTTCATTACTGGGGACTGAACCCAGGATCTTGTGCATGTTAGGCAAGTGCTCTACCACTAAGCTACATCCCAGCCCTAGTATGAATTTTTTGTTTTTGTATATGTGTATGGTATATGCATGTGCACATATGTGTGCAAGTGCACTTGCCCATGCATGTGGGTGTGCATCAGAGGCTGTGTCAGGATATCTTCCTTAATTTATTCTCACTTTATTTTTATTTTCACCTTATTGTCTTGAGAAACTGTGTCTCACTGAACCTGGCCCTCCCAACTGCAGCCCCAGGGCTGGGTTACAAACTCACATTGCCACACCGGTCATTTTGTTTTTATTGTTGTTTATTTAGGACAGAGCCTTGCTATGTAGCCCGGGACGGACAGGAACTCATTATATAGTCCATGCTGTGCTCCAACTCGTGGCAATCCTCCTGAGTGCCGGGATAAGAGATATGTACCAGTTCACTACACAGGGCCCTAGGACGCTCCATTCTTGGAATGGTTAAGTATGAGGTTTGGAAGGAATAGATGGCAGGGTCACCCAGATGTCACCTGGGGCCTTGGAGGACCAGCTGGGATCAAGTGTGCTCTGGTGTGTCCTTTGTTAGTGTCTCTGACACATGTTCTCAGGGGTGATGGATTTCACAGGGCCATGGCAGCCCTGCAGTCAGTGTTCCATATCACCACACGCCGCTCCTAAGTCATTTCTCAAAAGCCAACTGTAAAGGGAATCACTATGTAAAAGGATATAAAGGCCAAAACGTCAGCATTCTAAGGTACATTTTTTTTTTGGGTTTTTCGACACAGGGTTTCTCTGTGGCTTTGGAGCCTGTCCTGGAACTAGCTCTGTAGACCAGGCTGGTCGAGAGATCCGCCTGTCTCTGCCTCCCGAGTGCTGGGATTAAAGGCGTGCGCCACCATCGCCCGGCTCTAAGGTACATTTGTAAAGTCTAATTTTATATCAAGGATATGAATTAAGAACTAACAATTGGATGCCCTCTGGACAGAGGTGCGCCTACTATTTTTTTTTTAGAAAGATTTATTCATTTATTATATATACAATGTTCTGCTTGCATGTCAGAAGAGAGCACCAGATCTCATTATAGATGATTATGAGCCACCATGTGGTTGCTGGGAATTGAACTCAGGACCTCTGGAAATTCAGTTAGTGCTCCTAACCTCTGAGCCATCTCTCCAGCCCCCCTGCCCTACCTACCATTTTAATGGATGTGAAACACTGATTTATAACCTGAATATACTTTTAGGTTTTCTTTTTTTTTTTGACAGAGAGTCTCATAGGCCTGTGACTCATTATGTAGTCCAGGTTGGCTTTAGGCTCTCCATCCACTTGCCTCTACAGTGCTGAGATTACACTGTAAACTACCATGCCTAACTCCTAATTATCTTTTGACTATACTGTATGAGATCTTATAAATTTCTGGTTTGTGATATATGTATATATATATGTATACACATATATATCATATATGTAAGTATGTATGTTCATGCAGGTATGTGCATGAAGGTGTGAGGGTGAACATGCATGTGGGTGTATATTATGAAGGTGAGGAATTGTGGGGTGTTCCACGTCGCTAGGTCACCCTCCATCCTATTTTTGAGACAATGTCTCTCACTGCACATGGAGATCATTGATTCAGCTATGTGGCCAATGAGTTTCAGGGGTCTGACGGTCTTGGCCCCTGGTGCTGAATTAACGGATGCCAGATTTTACATGGGTATTGGAGAGCAGGGCCTCACATTTGCATGGCAGGCATTTATAGACTGAGTCATCTCCTCAGATCTGCCCTTATAAAAATCCCTTCCCAACAGAGGTTATATACGACCCAGCCAGTGTTTCTAGCAAAACCACACTGCTTCCAAGACCATGTAAAACACCAGTTCAGCCTGAACTGTCCAGACCAGGAAGATTCTACTGCTGCTGTGTAAATTTCTCCCAGGCAGAAACATTGCTTCCTGCAGGCAAGCTCTTTAAACAGGAAGGTGGACTCTTAGCTTTTACTGCTTATTCTGGCAGGGAGGGACCTAGTAAGATCTGGTCGGTTTCAGGGACTTCCTGAAGCTATTTTGAGTTGTCCCCTCCGACAGAAGGAGAGGAATACAAAAAAGACTCTTGAGACCAGACCAGCTGTCTGGAAGAAGCAGAAAGCAGCTGAGCTGCCTGGAAGAGGTTCAGACTGGAGTCACTTGGAGAGGACATTCTCCAAATGGTCGAGCTGCCTGCAGGCTGTGCAGTATGCTCCAGGTTTCTTAGCTTTTGTGTTGCCCATGCTAGGGTGGGGTTGGTGATGCAGCTGGCTTTGAGTTATTTCTGCACCTGTAAGTAGCCACTCACCCATACTCCTGTAAGTAATGAAACTCATTGGTTCACCAAGTTGGGCATTGGTGGTATCCATACTTTGGTCTGTCATGGGATTCCTGTCTGGAGTAGGTAGGCATGTATATCATATCTCCCCAGGAAAAGCTTTGTCACACAACCGTACATACGAAGAAAGTAAGACCACAGTGGATCATGTACTCACTTCAAACAGCCTTTCTGATTTCTCTTTTAGTTTCTCAAGCTCTTCCTTCAGTTTCTCATTTTCTTGACTCAAGGCCATCAGGTGCTCCTTAGCTTCTTTGCTCTGTGTCTCAAACATCTGGCGTTCTTCCTTCTGCTTCTCTGTCCAGGCTGAAAGCTCCTCAAATCGTCCTTTCATGACCTGATTATTTAGCTTTATGGCTTCTGTTTGGGGTTTAGAGAGAGGGAGTCACCCACCAGGGAATGGATGGAATTTCATGAATCAGCTCTTCCTCTGGCCATTTCGATACTCTGGGCTCTGGATGTAAACATGCCCCAGTGACCTAGGATGGGTACATCAGCGGGAAAAAGACTACAGCAATGGCAGTAGAGTTTGCTTACAGACTCTAGAACACCACTGTTGGTCCTTAGAGGTCACGAGAAAGGCCAGGCATGGTGACTCATAATTGTACTCCCAGTATTTGGGAGGCAAGAGGTGGGATGATGTGGAGGTCAAGGTTCAGGTTTAGCTACATTCAGGTTTAGCTACGTGGCGAGCAGGAGGCCATCCTGATCTACACAAGACACTCTCAAAACAACAAAATTCCCCAAATAAAATAGATTTGGGGATATAAATTCCTCTTAATGACCAAAAGTCTGGAAGACTCTTTGATTATGATATTTAATTAGCCATGGCTTGAGATATTAGAATATAATCCTCTTTTGAAACAAAGTTTCACTGTGTATATAGCTCAGGATATCCCTGAACTTGCTATGCAGCATGTGACAGCTCTGCACTTGGAATCCCCCTGCGTCTGTTCTGGAGCCAGGACACAGCCATGGACCATCATGCTTAGTTCAGAATGCTTTCTCCTGACAAAATGTTTCCACCTAACTGTAGCTAGAGGTGCCTCTCTCCTTTTAAATGGGCTGTCATTAGACTATTTTCTGAGCTAGTTTGGTTTTGTACAGTGGTAAGGATCCACCCTAGAGTCGTGCACATGCTGAGCAAGCTCTCTTACTGATCTACACTCTCAGCCCCTAAACAGAGTAGTTTTTAGTCTGACCTGTAAAATATGTAAACAGAAAGCCCTGTAGCACTGCTCAAAGTCTTGCTGTGCTGTTTCTAGGGAAACAGGCTGAGAAAGGGCCTCACTTACAGCCTTCTTCAGAAGGGATTGTGTTTCCTGCGTGGCGAATCCAGACGACAGGCCTGCTCACCTTTCAGCTGGTGGTTCTCAACCAGGAGCTCCTTCATTTGCTGCACCAGCTCCTCAGGAGTGAATGTGTCCAGGCTGGGGTGAACCATACTGGGGGGTCCATTTCCTGGGGTCTCACAGGGGCTGTCCCCCTTCTCAGTCAGGCAGCTCAGAGGTTGATGGGACATGGCAACGGGTCCTATGGAAAAGCCACAAGCTAAAAATATAGCTGTCGCCAGTCTGTCACAGGCCTCGGAAAGACCCGCAAATCTGTTAGTAACGAGTGGTAGAGTTATTCCCAAGGTTGCTGGCCTTCCCTCGGTGTGCACTGTGAAAGCTTTCCCTTTAACCATCAGCTGCACTGCCCACCTTCACGGGACCATGTGTAGAAAGGGGCAGAACTGAAATGAGATGGAAACTGTAGAATTGATAATGATTAGGATAATATCTGCAGCCTTGGTGAAGATCACTACATAAGTCCCTTTAAGTCTTTCAGTTCAAATCTCCTTATTTTGAGTGATTTGTATTGTCTGGGAATTAGACTTCAATAAAGTTATTAAAATCTTCATTTATATATTTATTGAAAGCCATTAAAATCTCTATATTTTATATTTATTGAAAACTATTGGAGTCTCCATATTTTATATTGATTGAAAGCTATTAGATCTCCATATTTTATCTTTGATAAAAGGAATGGAATGGAATGTTTATTTTTGGCAATTCTTAGGCTTAGTATGTGCTGAAACACTCTACCATACATACCCTTCTCTCTCTCTCTCTCTCTCTCTCTCTCTCTCTCTCTCTCTCTCTCTCTCTCTCTCTCTTCCTTTCTTTCTTTGGTTTTTCGAATCAGAGTTTCTCTATGTAACAGCTTTGGCTGTCCTGGACCTCCTCACTCTATAGACCAGGATGGCCTTGAACTCTTATAAATCTGCCTGCTTCTGCCTCCAGAGTGCTGGGATTAAAGGCGTGTGCCTTTGCTGCCTGGTGACACTCCCTACTTTTGACCGTCCACACGAGGTTTAACAGGTGTAACAGCTCGCCTAAGGTCAGAAGTGGCACATAGCAAGGCTGATGTGAAGATGCCGTCTTACACTACACAAAAGGCACAAGTAAAGTTTTATTTTTTATTGAGGCTTTGATATGATATTTATCAGTGAATACACACAAAACACTAATGCAGTTTGATGCCTATTGCACATCCTGAAAACACTTCTATGTATATGGCTTTATTTCATAGATGTGTCGATGAGAACACATAAATGCCAATTCTACTTCTTTATTACCTACCACTCAGGCAAAAGGACCTCTTTCCAATGACTGGCTACATACACATTCCAGGCAAAAAAATTTCATCTTCATGCTTCATGAAAATGATAGATATTCCCATCATGAACTGATGTGGATAGACCATAAAACAATATAAAGTAAAGGTAAAATACACACACACCTTCACACATGCACATAAACACACACACTTGCCCTATTCTACAAAGGAAAAATGACTGACGTCCAGAGAGATGGTTAAAAAAATATTATTTCAGGATGGAAAGATGGTTCAGTGGTTAAGAGCACTGACTGCCCTTCCAGAGGACCTGGGTTCAATTCTCAGCACCCACATGGAAGTTCACAACTGTGTGTAACTCCAGTTCTAAGGGATTTGACATCCTTACACAGTACAAGCAAAACACCAGTGTATGTTAAATAAATATAAATCTTTAAAAATATTATTTCTTGGGCCTGCAGAGATGGCTCAGTATTTAAAAGCACTTGTTCCTCTTTGACTCCCAGCACACATGTTAGATGGCTCAAAACTGCCTGTTACCCCAGCTCTAGAGGATCTGATGTCCTCTTCTGGCTTCCGCAGACACATACAGATATATGGTATATACTCACACAGACACATACATTTTAAAAAACTTAAAATTTACCTCAATTAATTGTAAGATAAATTTAAATCCATCTATGCAACAAAAGACATCAAATGGTGATGTTGCCCTACGACTGTGACAGATCAGAGAACCACTGGCGCCACAGAAAGCCCTGGGATGAAGACGGTACATGGGCGCATACTGGTGGGCACTCCCTCCCCCACCTCAGTAGGAACTGAATCTAGAGCCTCCGGTTATTACTCAAGTGCTCTACCACAGAGTTACAGTCATAGTACCCAACCTTATTTCTAACTAGGGGAGAAGCCATTGCTCTCAGACTGCCAGCTCCTCATGATTAAGGTGCCTGATGGCTCCGTGAGTTGTATTCCATTATATATGAAATTAGTCCCTCTTCTGACAGGCAGGAGAATCACCCTCTCTGCCAGGTAGCATGCAGGTTTAATACTCACATATGAAAATAAGACCAGATGCACAGAATGAGGGGCTCTTGCTATGCCCGTAGGAGGCAGAATCCTGGGCTCTCTTCAGGTTCTCTACAATCAAGAGTCTGGTGCACTGCTTCTAGTGTGGAGACTGTGTTAGATAAACTGTAGCACTAGCGTTGATCTGCTAAGAGGAAATGCATCCCATGAAGTACACAAGGAGGATGGCAATTTCACAGGGGGAAAACACTGAGCAAGCATTACTCTCTTGTCTCTTGAATGGAAATGGGTTTTACTTAATTTAAGATGCCTTTGCTGGATAAAGCCCATGTTTCTGACTTTCCACAAAATTCATTTTTGCAACTGAGTAGTGTTGGAGGTCCTTCTGTCTATGTGTTGCTTTCATTGGTTAATGAATAAAGAAACTGCCTTGGCCTGTTGATAGGGCAGAACTTAGGTAGGCGGGGAAAGAGGAAAGAGACACCATGGATCTGCCAGAGACAGATGCTGGGAATTTTACCTGGTAAGCCACTGCCACGTGGCAATACACAGATTAATGGAGATGGGTTAAATTAATATGTAAGAGTTAGCCAATAACAAGTTAGAGCTAAAGGGCCAAGCAGTGATTTAATTAATACAGTTTCTGTGTGGTTATTCTAGGGTTAAGTTAGCCAGGTGGCTGGGACGAACAAGCAGCCCTCTCCTTGCAACAATTGGTGCCCAGTGTGGGGCAACTGCATCCACATAAAGCCTGAGAGAGCTTGGGAAGTAATTCTAGACAGAAAAGAATAGAGTTAAGCACAGCTTATCGATAGCAGCATTTTCTCAGGTGTGCTCTGCCTGCTAGAGGCAAATGTGTCTCATATAAGAGAGGCTTCCTGACTCAGCTTTAGCTGTAAAACCTTGCAGCTCTTTTAAGAGGTCCTGCCACGAAACACTTAAATGGTATTAATGAAAAGCTGACTGCATGCTTTTTGGTTTTTAGCCACAGCAGGAAAAAAGCTGCGCCATTTTCAAAATGCTGGCTTCCTGGGCCGTCCTGCCAGCACAAACTCTGACTCTTTCATGAGGTCTGGCTACAGAGCATTTGAGTGTGGTTTGTGAGCAGACTGCTTGCTTGCTTGCTGGCAGGGACCTTGAAGCGCCATAGAGTTGTGGCAATAAACATGGCTACAGCCGGTACCTCCACCATGAGGGTGGAATCTCAGACAGCTAAGAAATGGGCTGGATCCAGCTGCCAAAGCCACGGCTTTAATTCTTTTGCTTTAATTTCTATAGCTAGAAAGCCATATCACTTAGCAAATTAAAGACTCATGTGGTCAGAAAAAGAGATATACAGTAAAGAGAGATTAAAAGACAAAGAAAACCTCTAAATGGTTTCCAGTATGTTAAAAATAAAAACAGGCGTGGGAAAGAAAAGAAAAAGGTTAAAGTCCTTAAAATAAAAAAGGGATTTAACAACTGCGGGAACCAGGCAGGACAGAAAACTAAGTTAACAACTGAGTATAATGGTGCACACTTATTCACTGCCTTAGGGGCTGAGGTAGGAGGATCACACATTTCAAATCATTGTGGGCTATATAGTGAAAACCTGTCCCCGCAAAACCAATGAAAGGTTCTGAGGAGATGGTCCAGGGGATCAAATGCTCATTGTGCAAACACAAGGACTGGAGTTGGGTCCCCAGAACCCATATAAAGCCAGAAGGGTATAGTGGCTTTCTGTAATGTCAGCATTTGGGAGGAAGAGACTGGACCCTGGGGGTAAGCTGGACAGCTAGACTAGCTGGACTTTGTGAGTTCCAGATTCAGTGAAAAGATCCTGCCTCAATAAATAAACTGGAAAGCAATATGTACATATATATTAGGAGAGAAATAACCAGCTAAAATTTTTATTTCTGCACATAATGATGTTGGTGATAACATTTCATTAAAAATGGAATTTTCTGGAACAGCAGTAAATTTTCCTGAGGTATTTAATCTGTCAAACTACAGAAACATTTAACAGGCTTTTGTGTGTGTTGGGAAGTGGGTGCCAGGAACAGAACCCAGAGTCTCATGGATGCTAACAAGCACTCCAGTGAGCTATACCTATACCCAAAACATTATTTTAATTTTGTTTTTATCTTTGCCTTTTGAGATGATGTCTTATTTTACAGTTCAGGTTTGCCTGGGACTCACTATGTAGAGTAGATTGCCTTTGAGTTCATGGTGATCCTCCTGCCTCCATATGTTGAGTGTTGAGATTACAAAGATGAGCCACTATGCCCATCTCAACAGATTTTTAAAAAGTAATCAACAGACATATAGAAGATGTGTTTAGTTCCATCTTATTATATGTATAAATCAACATCTCTCAATCTATTTTTTTTGAGACAGAGGCTAGCAATGTAGCCCAGGCTAGCCTCAAAGTGGAAAAATTCCTGCTTTAACCTCCTCAGGGCTCGGATAACAGGCATGCCACCACACTTATACCCAGCAACAAGCTATCTCTTCATGGTTTTATCAGAAGAAAAGGAAAAAAGGGAAGGGGAGGTACAGAGCCAAGAAGGAGGAAGGGGCAGAGGGAGGAAGGGAACTGGAAGGAGAGGACTGTTCTGAAGACTGCTGAGCTGGCTCTCCTCCTTGACCTCCATGTGCACCTCCACTGGGACTATAGATGCAACCACAGCAGAGACAGCCTTGGTCCCAACAACACTTCTAACTGGTGCAGGTCGCCCAGATTTTACAAGGACACTCGAAAAAAGCAGGGCTGTGCTAGGTGAGACAGTAGAAGAGTCAGTTGTACTGATTCATCAGAGTGTGTGGCCTTGGGAGAGCCACCTGATCTCCACAGGCTGTTTACTGACTCATCAGTGGATAATGCTCCTCATGGGTCTCAGCTCAGCAACTCTAAAAGGTATGCTTAATTTTCTAGAAAGATCACAGCTCCACCTCTACCCTTCAACACAGGCATGCCCAGTATTCCTCGCCCCACCATCCCCTGCCAGTCCACCATCACACTGACCATTCTCACAGCACACACGCACCTAGTCATGTTGTTGTCAAATTTTGTTAGGAAAATTAATTCCGTAATTCAAATGCCACAGTGAATAAGAAGCTAGCATATCCTGCAAATGCGAGCATTCGGATCCTACTATTTTACTAAAAGCGGTTTGAAGGGACAGTGAAAGACTCAAAGGACACTCGGGATTTTTGAGTACTTAAGAGGTATCAGTATGGATTACCACTATACTGAGGTATATGTGAAATACCTACTGGTAACACGTAGTGGGAGAATACTTAAATCTCAGAATCGCTGAACATTTTTATTCTATCTATCTATCTATCTATCTATCTATCTATCTATCTATCTATCTATCATCTATGCATGTATGACACACACACACACAGGGAGGGAGGGTAGGAAGGAAGGAGGGAGGGAGGGAGGGAGGGAGGGAGGGAGGGAGGGAGGAGAGAGAGCATCCCAGAACATGGGCGAGCACAAGCACCATGCCGTCTATGTGGAGGTCAGATGACAGCTGGTTTCTGTCCTTCTGTTCCACCATCTGGGTCCCAAGGGTGGAAATCAGACCACCAAGCTTAGCAGCAAGAACCTTTACTTGCTGAACCAACACACTAGTGCCTGAATGGCTAATTAACTTCCTCTTGAATGACATTCAACTGAGCAAATAGAGAGAGACATGCAGATCTTTTTATGTATCTTCAGAGATTAAAAAAACTGGAAAGAAGTATTTACTAGAAGGTTCCCTCTAACGGGATTCCTTATAGAAAGCCAGCTGATCTGGGTTGATCAGTGCCATTTCTGGGCAAAGACATTTAGGAAGAAAGGGGAGGTGGGGCATACCTGTAACCCAGTTCTTGGGAAGCTGAAGCAGGAGGAAAGCCATGAGTCTGAGGACAACCTGGCATACACAGTGAGTTCCAGACCAGCATAGTCTACAGTATGAGACCAAGAAAGAAAGAAAGAAAGAAAGAAAAATTTAGCACAAGACAACACAAAAAATGTTAGACATGCATGATGGTGAAAGCTTATACTCCCATTACCAGGGAAGCTGAGGCAAGAGGGTTGTTAGAAGTTCTATGCCAGCCTGGGCTACACAGCAAGCCCAGCTTCCTGTGGGAGGACAGAGTTAGGAACACAGGATTCGTCACAATTTCACTAACAAGAAAGACTGGGAATTAGCAAGGTAGAAAGTCAGAAGCAAAGCCCCAGCTTTATTCCCTCGATGTGCCCCTTGAGTCCCCTAGTCATGTGCACTCTTATTCTTTATTCTAAGGTCAAGTAATTATAGTAATGACCTGGCCCTGAGACATGGGCATAAATCTCATTCCTGAGTTGGCCTTAGAGATAATCTATTCTGACTTCTTATTCAATGCAAGAATGTCTGTGTGGTTTCCATGGTGCACAGCTACACAGAGCTGGCTTAGAACACATGAGCCATGCCCACCACCCCTGCTGCCCCCAGCAGGTGATGTCTCTTCCATTACAGATGGCTCTGACAGCCAGAAGGCCATGTGCCCAGTGTTATCGGCCTTATGCTAATTTCTACTCACTGGACACTGGACACAAAACAAGCCCAGTCCTTTTCCCTGGTGGAGATGAGCCTTCAGATCTATGGATGAAGTATTAACTGGTTCATATGTGGTATGTGCATGTGAATGCAGGTGCCATGGGCACTGGGTTCCCCAGAGATGGGGTGTTTGAAGTGGATATTGGGAACAGGACTCAGGTCCTCTGGAAGAGCAGAAAGTGTTCTTATTGCTGAGCCACCACTTCAGCCTGGTAAATTAGTTTTAAACAACGAAGACCCGTTTCCTGAAGAGAGTCAATAGTTTCCATTCACAAAAGGGAATGAAGGGGGCTAGCAAGATGGCTCAGCAGGTAAAGGCACTTGTTGTCAAGCCGGATCACTCCAGTTTGATCCCCAGGATCCATACATCAGAAGGAAAAAGTGACTTTTACAAGTTATCCTGAATCCTTCTCACGTATGTCATGGCAAGTGTGTACTCACGCCCATACGGACAGAATAAATGGAAAAGGAAGGTGGGACACACACATCTTATTTCTGGAGTAAAAAAAAGTCTTGCTGTTGCTTGCTAGGAATACGACTAGTAAGGCTATTCCATGACTTAGGGATACACAGAAAACAGAAACAGACTTAAACTCACTGACGCAGGCAGGGACATGGCAGTAGGCTTCCTTCTTTCCCACCCCCTCTCCTCTCAAAACTAAAGGGGTAGTCACTTGTACCTCCAAAATGCTTCCAAACCCCTCATGTCTCCAACCCTAAAGGCTTAGGCTTGGACTTTTGCCTGTGAATAGCCATGTTCAACTTCTGCCTATTTTGTCTGTTGCTGTGTCCCCAGTACTGTGGTGCACACAAGAAAAAAATTATCAGGGTTTAGATGAATGAATTCTAATAGCATTCTTCTCTTTCCATTTCAATCCTGCTGTAATTGAAGTTCATGAGAGTTATTTTTATTTATTTCCAGGCTTAATTATCCATATGCATCAATGCCACCTCCTGTCACCAAGCCACAAAGACCACATTAAAGGGCTCACGGCTCCATGCATTCTTGGCCTCTATGTCCTTGCCTCTGAGGTGTCCTCTGCCTGGGAAATGTCTGGTTCCCATTTGCTCTGGCACACATCCATGGGGCAGTTTCAATGTCCAACATTTGACATTTTGTGGAGAAGCAGCTCTTCTGAGCATCTAAGGGCCATTTGTATTCCCAGCTCCTTAGTCCCCCTACCAGTTACTGCTGTTTTTAGACTATTTACTTCCTCTCCATCTTTTTCTTACTAGAGACTGGCACACAGCAGCCTCTGTGTGTTTGTTGAAACAAGATGAAAACACAGCCTAGTGAGGGCTATTCAAGTCCAGCACCGGTGAGTGCTTCCTGCTGTGCAAGCACAAACCACACATGTTAGGACTGTTATGTACATGTTAGCACATGTTAGGACTGTTATGTACATGTTAGTTTTAGGACTGTTATGTACAAGTTAGCACATGTTAGGACCATTATGTACATGTTAGCACATGCTAGGACCGTTATATACATGTTAGCACATGTTAGGACTGTTATGTACATGTTAGTTTTAGGACTGTTATGTACATGTTAGCACATGTTAGGGCTGTATGTACATGTTAGCACATGTTAGGACTGTTATGAGTTTCCTGCAGCTCTAGGGTGCTCGTATCCAGTTTGAAGTCAACTTTTCAAACTCATTTTTAAAGTCAGAACTAGTTTTCTCTACCACCACAAAGGATGAGGATATTATTATATAACGTACATTCTAGAACTTGTTATCACACACAAGCCAAAGCAGAATCAAGGAAAGCCTTAATACATTTAACTTAAACAAAGGATTTGGGGAGGGTGGTGGTGCATGCCTTTGATCTCAGCACTTGAGAGGGAAAAACAAAGCGGATCCCTCTGAGTTCAAGGCCAGCTTGGTCTACAAAGCGAGGTTCAGGCCAGCCAGGTAGACATAGGGAGACCCTGTCTCAAAACCAAACCGAAACAAAAGATTTTTAGGTTCAGAAAGATGGTTCAGTGGGTAAAGGCATGTCCTGCCAAGCCTGACAACCGAAATTGAATCCATGGATCTCTCATAGACTGTGCCCTGGTGTCCACTTGAACACTATGGCAAGCACATGCATACACACATCTGTGAACATACATGCACACAAACATGCACACACAGCTAATTAATAAATATAATAAAATTTAATTCCTTTTGCCTTTGGATTTTGATTTTCCGGGAAATCAAAAAAAAATCATTAACACGCTAAGTCTCTATAATAAAAAGTCAGGAAAACTGATTTGGGGACTAGTAGGTATATTTCACGTATTTCATGGCCAGAACAACTATGTGCTACTTAAATGAGGGAGTTCAGGGGGAAGATATAACTAATTCCTTTCAAGTTTATTTCATTAAGTCTCACAAAATATAGATTCTGTCCCTTTCTCCCTCCTCCCTTCCTTCTCTTCTTTCTCCCTCCCTCCCTGCCCCCCCTCCCCATGTAATTTACAGGACAATTGTAAAAACTAGTTACTTTCATGGTTGCACAAAAAACATAAAGTACTGCTCAGACCGGCTCACTGTAAACAGATCAAACATGCACAGTTCACAATGAAACTTCACTTGTCCAATCAAATCCAAGGCAATTTCCGGCAGTGGCCTCTGCTCTGTCCAGCTTTACCCTATTATTAACCCGACAGCAACGGGACTCCTCCTCTCCCGAGGCCAAAAGAGTGAGGCTGCTTTGGGTAAAAGGGCAGCTTCGGAGATAGTTGTGAAAGCGCCAAGTGGCCCCACGCTGCCTTGCGTTCTCTTCTTGAGGCTCTCCCTAAGGTTTTCCGTTTCAGTGTTAAACACCTCAGGCGTACATTCATCCTCACAGGAGTCCTGCTAGTGGAGGCCAGCCAGGTCAGGGACTGAGTTTCATTTTCCTCTGAGGCTTGTTTATTGCCTCCAATTTAAACATTGACGGTGGTTCAAAACATTCCTCTAAAGTTCTCAGCTCCATTAAATTCATTCTCATATATTCTCTCCCCCCTCCCCCCCCATACAAACATACTTTGAGTTTATAATGAATATATACATGCACGGATATAGCGCACTCTTCCCAGACAGACACAACAGTTTATGTACTCTTCTGTAAGCCCGCTACGTTGGCAAGGGGTCTCGATTCTTTACTGTTCCTGGGCCACATCATTCAGAGTGCCTTTACTCCTTGCGACAGTACCTTTAACCACTTCCTTCTTAGAATGAACGACTCCTTGCTTAATCACTATCAACACGGGACGTCACCTTCAAACCACCTTAGTGACCTGACCTGGAAGTCACCTGCGGCCATTCAAGTCCGTGTTTTACCACCCTGGGGAAAGGGGGGAGGGGCCTTTGTAGCGGCCGCCACCCCCAGCCCCCTCCTCACATCCCCGCTGCCCTTTCACACCAGGTCAGGATCGGCCTGGGCCTTGGAAGCCTTTCCAGGGAAGCCATCCTACAAGAGGACCGCCCCAGCTTCGTCACCCTCCCCGCGGCAAGCTCCCGGAGACGGCTACAGAGAGAGTCGCTGCCAGGATGGATTGGAGCCCGCCGGGGAGAGTCGCCGCGCACGGACAGCGCCCGCCACCCCCCGGCCCGGCTCACTGACCTCCGGGATCCGCTCCTCTCAGGTCACTGCTTCGTTGGCATCTTGTCCCAGTCCCAGAGCTCTGGATGCCGACGCCAGCCAAGGACCGGCCGGGGGGGGCGGCGACCGGGCAGCCGGACGGTGACGCGCTCCCTCGCGACCCGCCGGGCGCCGCTCAGCTGACCGCAGCGCCTGCTCCCGCCCGAGCCGGGGAATTTCCCAGACCACGCCCACTCTGACACGCCCCAAGAAAACCACGCCCAACACCCCGCCTCGGCTTCTCTTCCCGAGCCCAGTGATCTACCTCCGCGATCTGGCGCGAGTGAAGTGGGAGGAAGCCGAAGTGTCAGACACCTGGCGTTAACTACAGTAAACTATTAATCTGACCAAATGGACTGAGTCAGACTTCCCTGTGTCTACAGAGAAAGATCAAATCACATGGGATCTCTGAGCCCTTCAGAAGGGTTTCAGGTGTCCTCATTGCAAGGTCTTCATCTTTCCATCTCTCAGCTTCTCTGCCCACTTCCACCTGAGTGTTTGTTTAAACCTTACAAGTAGGCAGCACACCCTCCCACTGATCCCCTATCTTCTTTTGGAGGCCTTAATTAAAAACCAAAATAGAAAATAAATAAATAAGGAAGGAAGGGAAAAGAATAAAGTAAAAAGAAAAGAAGGAAGAAAGAAAAGAAAAAATGGAAAGTTTGTAAAATGCTCTTGAGCTCTTGTTCGCCCAGATCAGTTAACACAGGCTGCATCAGATGATCAGAGAGGTGAGACTGATGAGTTGTTTTGGATGACATTCAGGAAGCAGTCTTACTGCGATGGTGCTATACCATACTGGAGGATGCCTCTGCAGAGACTGGAGAATAAAAAGCTAAAAAACACCCAAAGAGCTACCCTGGTTTGCATTCCTAGTCCTGAGAAGGCACCAGTAAGGTGGCATCACAAGATACAGATGGCATTTGCTCAGAAGGGTGAGCTCCTGACAGAGTGTTGCCTTGACAACCAGAACCCCAGCGAAAGGTAAGTAGTTAGAAACTGGGGCAGGATCTCCCCCGTGGCTCAGAAAAGAGCCCGAGACCAGGTTTTGTGCTCAAGGTCAAAGGGATGTCACAACCAGGGAAGAATTTCATTTACTGACAAAGGAGCTTCTGTGGCGACAACAGGCGGTTGGTATTGCGGCTGCACCTGCTCACAGCTTGGAAGGAAAAGTAGGGATCCTCATCAACACAAGGAAGAGACAGCCCAGGTCTGCCCAGTCTGTTGCACAGACCAGATCACCAACTGTCCTTTCCAAGACCTGGCCCCAAATTAACCCTACAGCCAGGCAGAGAAGGTCGGAGAAGTTGTGTCAGGGGGCACCCTGTCATTTTCTGATACTCTCTACAATCCACACCAAAGACTTCTATGACCCTCGGTCGTGTCTCTCCACCACCGACCAATAATATCTGCGAGCAGGTATCAGCGGAGTGTCCTTTCATTCTGCTGTTCTGACACCATATTCCCGCATGTGGTGGTAGATCCCATAGGTGAGAATGACACCCTACAGATCTGCTCTGTCTTCCAATGCCAAGTGGAAGCCCCAGGTTGTTTTACCTGAGTTGCTGTTCCACTAACCTGCTGTAAATTGGTTTTCATGTCTGGTGTTTGTGGTATGGAAATGTCTGGTGTCTCTTACACCTGTTTAAGGTATCGGCAAAACAGAGGATAAAGTTAAGTTTAGGAAAAAATAATCAAGGACCAGGAAATTGAGAGGGGTGTATCTAACCTGTTTAAGCCTTCAATTCAACTCCCTGGAACTCACAAGATAAACAGTAGCATATTTACGTTAGAATGGCTATAACAGATGTTTAACTTGTATTTGTCTTCATACCTTTACACACCTTAATAACTTGCATTTGTGTTTTACTGAAATTTGTTTGGTGAGGCTGTCCTTTTTTTTTTTTTTTTTGTTTTTTTTTGTTTTTTTTTGTTTTTGTTTTTGTTTTTCGAGACAGGGTTTCTCTGTGGTTTTGGAGCCTGTCCTGGAACTAGCTCTTGTAGACCAGGCTGGTCTCGAGAGGCTGTCCTTTTAAGGGACAATGTTGTGGGAGCTGTGGGGCTGCATTCTGCCACCCAGCTCCCGCCACTGGCTAGCTTTACCTGAAATTACAACACACAAACGGTATTCTTTTAAACATTGCTTGGCCCATTAACTCTAGCCCTTACAGGCTAATTCTCATATCCCGATCAACCCATCTCTAATAATCTGTGTAGCATCAGTCTTACCGGGAAAGATTCAGCATGTCTGACCTGGCAGCTTGCTCCATGGCATCTGCCCAGGAGAGGGGAGCATGGCCTCTCTGAGCTCACTTCCTCTCCCTCCCAGCATTCTGTTCTGTTTACTCCACCCACCTATGTTCTAACCAATAAAATGGGTCAAGGAAACTGCCAGGTCAGACATGCTGAAGAAAAAAGGAGGGAGAAAGAAAAATTCGGGGGACCCTGGGTTCCCAGTCCAATGCACCACACAGTGTGTGCAATGCTAGCATGGGAGGATTAACCCTGGTTTGTCCGGTCACGTTTTTAGCTATGGAAAGCAACCAGATATGAATGTGAGCCAAGGGCTCAACCGTAGCCATGAAGGCTGTAGTTGGCTGAATGGAAGGGAAAACCTCACCACTGAAGCTGCTGGTGTGTGTAGAGGTCAGTGTTCAGGCAGATACGATGCAGAACTGTTGTAAAGAAACCTGGTTCCTGAGCCCCAGGGTTCCACGTGTCCTTAGCTGGCCCACCCATGGGTGGGAGGGAATGTGGAGAGCCTGGTTGAGTCACAAGCAGCAATGTTATGGTAAAAATAAAATGCTGCAGGTCCACAAGTGACAGCAGTGGGCAGCTAGACCCGAGACCATGGTGGGTCATGAAGGCAGCCAGTCCCAGGCAGAAAGCCCAGTGGGTCCTAGGCAGGGATCCGCTTGGTGGGTTAATGACAGAGACAGATAGGCATGCCATGCAGAGTGAGGTTGTACATTTATTTAGTAGGTATTTATTTAGTGGGATATTTGTTTAGAAGGGAAGGGGAGAGGGAGGGAGGGAGAAGGGGGATGAGAGAGAGAGAGAGAGAGAGAGAGAGAGAGAGAGAGAGAGAGAGAGAGAGAAGAGGAACCACAGCAGCAGCTATCTCTTTGGGAGAGAGACGGAAAAGGAAGGAGGGCTCAGACTGGAAGCAGAAGGAAGATCTGTCTGCCTCAATGGTGGAGGGGAGGAGGAGGGCGGGGCTTGTCTCTTAAAGGGCCAGGACAGACCATTACACTCATAGTCACACACTCCTAACTAAGTCATCTCCACATTGTTTATCTTTTTGTGCGTCATTCTTGGGCAGTTATCCAAGATTACCACAGTGCCACACCCTGGCCCAGAAGTTATCTCCTCTCTTCAGACCCAGCTTGGTCCTACAAGTGATAGATAGGACTTTGGACCACCTCGCAGAACCAGATCTGAGAGTAATAAACTACACTACACACCCTGACCAGGACTATTTAACTACATATACTATTTTTTCCAATGTCTCACTTCATAGTTTAGGATGGCTTGGAATGCACTAGGAAGTTCGATGACCCAGAACTTGTAGCAATCCTCCCGTGTCAGCCTTCCAGATGCTTACTTAGCTTGTTACTTTCTCATCCTGTTGGGGCTGCTGGAACTGGGGTGGTGGTGGCTGCTGCTGCTTCTGTTTCGGTTTCCTTTTCTTCTCCTTTTCCTCCTTCCCCTTCACCCTTCTTTTTCTTCTTCTTCAGCAGGGTCTCATACTGCCCGGACTGGCTAACTTGCTATGTAGACTAGGCTGGCTTAGAACTCCTTGGTTGCCTCTTCTACCCTCCTACTACCTAGTGCTGAGATGAAAGGCCTTTGACACCGTGTCCTCCTTTGCATTAGTTAATTGTGTGAGCTGCTTCAGAACCTCTGGAGGTACAATGTTCTATAAACTACATACATATTACCCTTTTACAGTTCCCCAAATTCACAGTTCTGAAAACACCTACTACCTCGGGACGGTTATGAGTGCCTGGAGTGAGTCACACATTACTTGTTAAAAATTGCAGGTCACCATTTTTCTGGACTAAACTCCTGAACTAGGTCCTAACACATCATGCTGAAAATAAAATGGAGTCATGCATAGTCTTCATTACTTTTCTATTGCTGTGATAAAACCAAGTGCCTAAGACCGTACCATCTGTTCCAACTCCATATTGTATTTGCTTAGACAAACCCTTTACCCTCCCCTGAACAGTAGTCACCTCTGCCTTGGCAACACATTTGAGATTTCCATGGCCTTGACCATGGTCCAGATGCATTAATCAAAATAACTAAAGTAAACTAAAACAACCAAAGATTATTTAAATCAAATGTAATTGTCCTGCTGTGTCTAAAATAATCTCTATCCTCTGCCAGCAATGAACATTTTAAGGTTACTCTGATCCTCATCCAATTTTGATGTAAATTATGGTCTTTGTGATTTTTGCTTTAAAAAATGCTTTACTCCTCAGCTTGGGCACCAAGAGACATTTTAGAGGCAGGAACTGCTTTTGGTCTGGCCATTAGTAAGATTGAAACTTATAATTGGCTTAATCAGCATGGTTGTCAATAACTATATCATACGGGTCATTTCAAAAATAACATGACTAAGGCAATTTGTAGAAGGAAGGTGTAAGAGTCTGTCATCGAGGAAAGCATGGGAGGAACAGCATTGTGTTAGCTGAAGCAGGAGCGGAGTGCTCACGTCTCAATACACAAGTCCTCAAAGCCTCCCCCAGTGACATACTTCCTCTAGCAAGGTCACTCGTCCTAAGCCTCCCCATCAGCCACCAGCTGGGGATCAAGTATTCAAATGCATGAGAATATGGGGAACATTTCACTCAAATCACAGTCATGCTCAGGTTCCATTCAGCTTGCTTAAACATGCATAAAATACAAAAACACATAGAGCAATGCCTGGCACTTAGTATCAGCCTAGGGAATAGGGAGGAAGGTCCCTACTCCCGTTTTTCCTTTTGCTTTCCTACTTCTCTTCTTGCTAATATGTTTACTGCTAAATGATCTTTCTTTAGAGACTCAGAACTCAGAACCTCTGACAGCCTCAGTAATGCCCCCCCCCCCCCGTAGTCATCAGCTTTGTAAATCACTGTGAGGTATAAACTGAAGCATTATGTTTATGAAAATACT